TGGAGGATTGGGATGGGGGGACCGTAAGTGCAATCACAATATGTCCTGGTATGAGTGAGACCAGCGGGAGACTTCCCACACATAGGGAAGACAGCCTGGTAGATGGATGCAGAGACTGCAGTGATGCAGCTGCAAGCCAAGGACACCTGCAGCTTCCAGAGGCTGGGAGAGGTGAGGAACAGTTCCCCTGGGAGCCTTTCCAGGGCGAGCAGCAATCCCAACACCTCGACTCTGCCCCATTGATAGAGATTTTGGATTTCTAGCTTCCAGAACTACTAGAGGATATCTTTCAGTTGTTTTAAGCCCCTAAGTTTATGGTCATTTATTGCAGGAAATTCATATGGAAGTGACTTGGTCACAGACACACAGCTAGAAAGTGAAGGTGTGGTGCTGTAAACATAGTAAGTACTCAAAAAATATCACTTGTTGTTACTGCCATATTGCATGTGGGGAGGCTGAGTTACAAGGTGAAGTTATTAGATCAAAAAGCCCATAAACTTGGCCTACTTTATCCATCCCAACAAACCCTGTTTGGGAGAGGCAGTTTGAATACTCGGGATTTGATGACTCAATTTGAGAAGGAGCTATTAACAGTGGGTGGAGATGATTCAGGAAAGTGATGAAACGTTGTAGGCTAAACACCTCACTTCCACTGAGTCAATCCCAACCACTAGAATTAACTCTGCTGGCCAAGCCCGTCCTACATATGAATTTGAGGGGGGGGGGGTGTTGCACGTAAAGGAACACGTTATGATGCTCAGCAATCCAAAAAGATGAGGTGAACTTCTCTGTGTCTGAAGGTAATTCCCCCACAACACTCATTGTTGATTTAATCAGTCTCCCTCTGTGGTCCGGAGGGATCACTCAACAACTGTGAATTGAATATGCATATATTTGCTCACCGCGGTCAGCTAAAACGGGAACTGATGGACTATAGTTAAAATGAGCTTGCCAAAGGCTTATGTGGCTCTCCCTTCTCCCCTCTTCCTTTATCTCCCTTCCCTTCTGGAACAATTCACTCCAAAAGCCATTCAGTGGGATGCAGCAACCTAAGCACCATCAATGTAGGAGGGGAGATGGTACAGGAGGTCCAAAGAGGAGTGCCAGTGTCCAAATGAGAAGAAGAGTGTCTGCCTGGATTGAGGCCCCAGCCTGAGTGGCCAGAGCTCATGTGAGCGGGGAAATCATCCTCATGGAAAGGCAGCCTGGTCAGGGGAGTCAAAACTTGAGTGGGGGCATTAAGCTTGCTGTCATCAGTAAGGAATTGTTACAGGGCCTCCCTGGTGGTGCAAGGTGTTAAGTCTCAGAGCTGTGAAACTATCAGCAGCCACTGCAGCAACAAGTTCAATCCCTGGCCAGGAGGTGACCCATGTGGCACAGCAGACCTCTCCTATCTTGCCCGCTGCTCCCCCAGCAGTATATTTCTGTCAATCTGCCTGTTCTGCTCCCCACTCTGTCTCTGGTGAATCCTCTCACTTCCCCACATCTCTGGCCTGCATAAATCAATAAAATAAATCTTTAGGAAAAAAAAATTGTTACATACAGAGGGTTGGTCAAATACAAACCTTGTTGTTATTGAGAAATAATGAGAATACCAGGTTGGAAAAGGGAGCCACTAATATGGAAAGGGGAAAACTGGAGTGAACTCTGTGGGCATAGACGGGATTGGATTGCTTAGGATGAACTTAGAGTTCTCAAGATAGATGACTACAGAACCCATAGAGAGAGACAGAGACACAAACATGCGTGCGCTGGTGTGTGTAACACTTTCCACTGAGATAATCGATGAGCAGTGACACCTCAGCAACAATAAACACCTCTAGATCTGTATTTCTAAATACCATGTCCATTAAAAAGAACCTGGGCTTTTTGGAGAAATTTCTTATTTGGGGGCTAGGTCAGACAAAATATGAGATGAGCCTGGAATGTCTTGTGATATGTCCGAAGACCACAGGAATGGGAGGGAATATCACAGGCCAAATGTAGGCTGACTTGTGGTTACCAATAAACAATAATGAATGGTAGCCCACGGAATCAAGAGTTTGTAAATAAATAAATGGGGAGTTTGATGAAAGATGGGATATTTGTTGCTCGACGAAATATTTCCAAAATTCAAAGAGAAAGGAGCAGATTCACAGAGCAGAAGCCTGGAATCCATCCCTTAATTTGAGTGATAAAGTTAGCATCATCAATTTGGGGATAAACTGAAGTCATGTCAGGTATGAGGCAAAGAGGAGGGATCTGCATCATGCCTGCGATATCTCACAATGCCCAGAACCCATAAGCTGCATGTAACCTTATATGACCTAAATCTAATCCCAAGGAAAACTGAAACAATCTAAGCTGAGGGATTGTTTCTGAAGTAACCACCTGCCTCTTTGAAAGTGTTCAAGTCATAAGAGTCAAAGTCTGGAACATTCCAACTAGAGACTCAAGAAAAAGCACAACTACATGCAATGTGAGAAGATGAAATGGACCCTTATCTATGAAGGACATTATTTGGACAAATGGTGAATTTTGAATGAGGTCTAGGTAATAGATTCTGTATCTGGCCTATTTCCCACATTGATAGATGAATTATGATTCTGTAGGAGAACACCCCTCATCCCTGTTTGTAGGAAACTGACATTAAAAATATTTAGGGTGATGGGCATTGTGTCAGCAACTTAGGCTGAAATGGGTCAGGAATAAATTTACTTGAAGCATGCTTATAACTTTCCTATAAAATTGAGATTGTACCAAAAGAAAAAGAAATGTTTTGTGTGGCTTACATAATTTTTTAAAATTTTAATTTGTTGTCAATGTCAAACAAATAAGAGATTCTGCCCCAAAGTCCAGGTTTCTGACTTTTTTTGAGAAATATGTAAAATGAACAACCAGTGCCCTGGAGATGTGCCTTGTGACCACCCAGTTCTCCACAGTCCCCAACAGCCACTCCTCACTCAGTAAGATCCAGCCCACAGCAGCCATCCATGGCCCCTGGCCCCAGCCCAGCCCCCATCACAAGCTATGGGAACTTTCCCCAGAACAGACGCTTAAGCCTTTGTTGAGTGAATGGATGAACTTTCAAGTCTCTCTATTAACCCAGAGCATTGGCCTCTCTCAGCACATCAAACCCATATTTTCTGGCAAGACAATCCTTACAGACTTGAATTTCTTGTCTCAGTCACAGTCTCTGGGTGGTTTGGTTGCAAAGGAATAAGTTGAGAAATCAGGGTGTCGTCTGATGCTGGAGGTCTCCATGTGGGTTGTGATGTCTCTGTGGAATTGATGGAGGTGTTTGAAAGGTGGGTGGAGTTCTGGTACTGGGTAAGGATGCTGGGTGAGTGGGCTGGTGAGGCTTCAAGGAGATGATATCTTAAGATGCCTGAGGTGGGGTGGGGTGGGAACTAGCAAGAGTTGATGGTGTGGACTCCTATCACTGGGAGATCTGACTTGATGGGGCATGCCAGGGGTTGGGTTAGGAGTCAAAAGTGATGATGGCTTCTCCTCCCCAGACCCTCTTACTTCCTGGCTTTATTTGGGTCATGCCTTTGGCTTGGAATAACTTCTTTTCCCTTCTGCCCCTGAAAAACTAAACTGAAAATATTTGATACGTTTTGTAACTATTTGTCTGACACTAGCAACTTCTCACTGTCCTTAAAATAAAATCCAAACTCCATACCATTCCCCACCTAATCCAACATGCCTCTGTATACCACTTTCATTTCTTCCCCTGGGACCCTCGTTGCTTGCACACACCAAGCTCTTTGCTACCTTCAGTCCTTTGCTCGTGACCCAGCCACTCTGACTATCTCCTACTTCTTTAGATCTCAGCTCATATGTCACCTCTTCATAGGTACCTAAGTCCTTAAGTATCTAAGTCCTCATAGCCCATCTCAGGCATGTCCTCAGCCAGCCAGCCCCACACTCTCTCTGTCTCATTTTCTTCAGTTATACTTATCAGACTTATCAGTCTGAGTTTGTCTCATGTGTGTATTGTTTTCATGTGTCTCTGGATCAAGAATGCCATCTCCACAAGAGCAGGGTTTTTGTGTACTGTTTATCCTCAATACCTAGCACAGCACATGGCACATAGTAAGGGCACAATGAATTTTTCTTCAGAAGTAAACAACCGTGTGCTAGATTTTTGGAGACTCTGGGTGTTAAGTTTCAGGGCACAAGCATCTAAGTGGGTTGTGGCTGAGGTTAAAAAAAAAATGCCCCAGATTGTGATTAGCATGTACTGAGGGTCCTGGTGTGGGAGGGTAGGGAGGTGGGCTAAGGTTAGGTTTGGAGAAACAAATTCCCAGTCAGGTGATGATCGAGCTGGATTGTTAACTGGACCCATCAGGTGACATCAGGCGGTTGAGGTTCGACTGGACCCCAGATTTTGGGCACAGGGACCCAGTTAGGCATAGTGAGGTATTTTGTGACCTGAGCAGTGTCCCAACAGGTATAAGAACAAGGAGTAAGAGAACGGAAGGCAAAGAATCAATAATCCTCCCAGGTTGTAGCTAAAAAAGCACAGGCACCCAGACTGTGTCCAACAGGTGACCTGGGGTTAATAGAGGACAAGATTTGTTTTTGGGGAAAACAGGTGCCCTAAAAGGCACTGGTTGGGTTTGGTCTGTAATGTGGGCGGGTGAGTGAGTCGTGCGATGTGGTCTGGGCAACTCCACGCCGCCATCAATCGAAAATCTGGCCCGAGCCGGCCGGGCCAGGTTAGGGGGCCAAGCCGGGGGCGGCAGGAAGCACACCTGGAACACTCACCTGGGAGCGGCTCGAGGGGGCGGACCGGGACCCACGAGTGCGCGCGCTTCCGAGCCGGAGTGACTGACCCCGCCCCCCGGCCAATGGCGGCGTCCCGGCCCGAGGCGGCGGGCGCGGATTGGATGCGGGTGGTCGGGGGCGGGGCGGCTCCGAGCGCCGCTTAGGCTCTCGGCCTGAGGGCGGCGCTGAGCGCTCGGCTAAGCGGGCGCGGCGCGGGCGGAAGTGGCGACGCTGGCGTCCCGGGAGCCTGCGGCTGGCGGCAGTGACGGCCCCAGCGCTGACGGCGGCGGCCGCGGGGGCGGTGTGGACCCCCACGGCCCTGGCTGGGGCATCACCGCCGGCCTCGACCCCGAAATGGCGCTCCTGGCCGAGCACCTACTGAAGCCGCTGCCCGCGGACAAGCAGATCGAGACCGGGCCCTTCCTCGAGGCGGTTTCCCACCTGCCGCCCTTCTTCGGTAAGCTGGGTGGAGGGGGAGTTGGTTCCAGCCCCGGGCACTTCCAGAAGCTCCCGAGCCCTTCTCCCTCTGTATCCCAAGCCATTTCTCTTCGGGGCAACCCAAATCCTGTTTCCCTGACACCCCAGTTTTCCCTTACCCATGTCATTCCTGAATCCAGTCTCTCCCGATCATGGCACATCTTCCATCTCTTCCCCACTCCCTACATGCCTCTCCCCAAACACCTCCCATTGCAGCATTGTTTTAAAAAAGATTTATTAATTTATGGATACAGAACTCGCATACAGGTCAGAGATGCAGGGAGGGTGAGAGGATTCACCAGAGACAGAGGGGGAGCAGAACAGGCAGATTGATGAAGTACCCTGCTGGGGGAGCCGCGGGGAGACAGGAGAGGTCTAGGGAGACAGGAGAGGTCTGCGGAGCCATGTGGGTCATTCCCGGTGGGGGGAATCTAACTTATGCTCAAGTGGCTTTAGCTTCTTAGTGCTGTGCTTTAACCCGCTGCGCCACCAGGGAGGAGCATTTTTTTATTATTATTACAAAGTTTATTTTTATATCATTTTGCACATTTTTTTTCCATCTCGATTGTAATCCCCGCGGTTTCCCATCACCAAATCACCCCTGTGCCACCACCATAGTCCTGTGCATTTCCCTCCCTTCCCCCCGTTTTTGATCCCATTCCCCACTCCACCCCTACAGAATGTCTCTGGTATATGGTTGTTCATTATTTTTGTTATTTTCTCGCCTGGTCTATTATACTCCTGCTATGAGTGAAACCATCCGGTATTTTTCTTTCTCTTTCTGGCTTATCTCACTAAGCATGATCTTTTCCAGCTGGGAGGAGCATTTTTTAATGCTGCCCCTCATCACCACTCCCTGTGGGCCCCCAATCACCCATCCACCCCCAAGCTCCATTACTCTTCCCACCTCGGTTCCCCAGTTTTCCATGTGTCCCCAAGCATGCCACTTCTTTTCCCCCAAAGTCTTTCATCCCTCACCCCATCATTCCTTTTAGCCCTTTCAGAGTATCCCTTCCCTTAAAATGAATCCCATTTCCTAAGCCCTGTCTTTTCCTTCAGTTCTCAGCCTTTTTAGAACGTTGGGAGTGTTCCCTTAGAATCTCCCCATCATGGACTAAAGGACGCCCCTCCCAGCCACATACACTCCCAGGGCAAGATGCCTGGGGGTTGGGGGTGGGGGTTTGCACAAGGAGCTGTGAAACTTGAGGCCTTCTTTCTGGGAAGAATCACCTAAAGTTTCCCCACCATTTAGTACCGGGGTCAGGAGAAGGGGAGTGGCACTGTTTGCAGGGTGACTTCAGACGGTGCTTGTCAGGTCTCCTCCTTGGATGCCTCCTCCAGGAAGGTCCTGGGACCACTGTGGGGGTGGCCCCTCAGCCAGTTCAGGCCTGCCCCCAGCCCAGCCCACGCCCTGAATGGAAAATGGGAAATGGAGGACACTACTGGCCACCCTGCCCTTTGCCTTTCAGGATGCAACTTGAGCCTCCGTTTTCTCCTTTCTGTGTGGACTTGTCCAGTGTCTGGCCCAACTGGTTCTCTCAGGGGCCTCTGGGCTGGTAAAGCCTCACCCTGGGGGGCAGAGTCCAGCTGAAACTAACTGGCAGAACCTTAGCACTCTGACACCAGGGTAGTCCCTCCCTCTACTCTGGCCAGTGATGGGGCTTGTCATGGGCAGCAGTTGGTGCAGGGCCATGAGCATGGTGCCAGCATGCGGACTCGCAGCTTAGCTCTCCTCCTCCTTCTCTTGAGCCTCAGTGTCTCCACTTACAGAATGGAGGTGCTGAGCTCCTACGAGTCAAGCGGGTGGCGTGTGTAAAAGCATGGAGGCCTAGGCCCCTTGGTGCTCTGGGGGAGAGGTTGTAGTTAAATTCCAGTTTTGGCTCCTCAAGGTGGATGATTAATTGGCGTTTGGTGGCGTGAATTGCCTGGTTTGTAGGATTCTCAGACCTGGATGAACCACATGAGAGCAGATCTTGGTCTTTCATGTCCACTTCTGCATTGCCAATTTCAGAAAGTACCTGGATACTTGTTGAATGTACAGCAGTTCTTATTTTCAGTATCACAGTGTGGTACTGAGATGCTGAGTCTCCAGGCAGGGGCTTGGGAACTCATGGACTTTGGCATTGAGGAGTCAGTTTTTGTGAGTTTTGCTCTCCTTTTGGTTCTGTGAACATTTGCAGAACAGAGCCAGCTTGCCCTAGAGAGGGAGTCAGAATCTGTTTAAGATGCTGCTTTTTGTCTGTGGGTAGCTTTACAGCTGACATCTAGCAACATCTGGAGACGTTTTGGGGTGTCACACTGGGAGGGGCTGGTTTGGGGAAGTGCTCCTGGCATCTGGTGGGTGGAGGCCAGTGAGGCTGCCCAACGCCCTCCGCTGTGCAGAGGGGTTCCCACACAAAGTGCTGATCCTGCCCCAATGGTTAGTGGTGCTGAGGTGGAAAAATGGCAAATTTAGCTCTGTGACCTTTTCCTTATCTTCAGCAAAGTTGCCCATCAGTCCTGAGCTGGGCATCACCTTCATTTGATGTGATTGTATGCCTGGCTTTCGGGGAAAGGAGATGGTGGCAGCTGGAGCCAGGCCTGAAGAGCATCTCCCCCCTTGCCCTGATCTCAAAGGACCCTTGTCCTTTGCTGAGAGCCCTGTGAGCTGGGTAGGGTGTCAGCTGTAGACAGAAGCGCCATTTATATGGAAGCCTCAGTGGGTTGACCTACAGAGGTTAATTCTTAGCACTCTAAAAAAAATAAATAAATGATCATCCATTTTGGGGCTTTATGCTTTTCTGGGGGGGAGAGTTTCTCCTGAGAGTTTCAGTTTTAGGAGGATGCTGGAACCAGTGGCTTTTCTCTGGGACTCACGAGAGGCGCTGTCAGCTCTCACACCAGGGCTTTGTCTAGATCTTGGGGGCCTCTGGTCACCCAGATGATCTGAGTGGTGTGTGTTTCTCTCAGAAGAAACGGGTCTGGGGTAAACCTGCAAGAAATCCAAAAGGTGTTGAGCGCCAGCTCTCCAGACAGGTCTTTCTGCTCAGGCCCCGCTGGCATTTGCAGCGGGAGCAGTTTTGTGGAGGGGGCCACCCTGTGCACTGTTAGACAGTTAGCATCCACCCTAGCCACTATGTATAGGAAGCCGGTAGCAGCCCCCCTCTCCAAATTGTGACAACCAGAAATCTCTGCCCCGAGACAGAATCATCCCTAGTGGAGAATCACTGCTCTCAATGATCAGTAGGCCAAACGACTGAAAGCTGCGTTTTTAGGAAGCATTTAACTCTGCCAGGAGATCTGTTTCTTGAAGGAAAACTGAGCAAAAAAAAAAAAAAGAAGAAGAAGAAAGAAATGGGGCTCCCTGTTGGTCTAGGCATTAAATCTCAGCCCTATCACCTGGAGCCTGAGTTTGATCCCACCTAGACCTCTCCTATCTCCCTGCTGCTCCGCTCAGCAGAGTCTTTCAGTAGATCGGCTAGTTCTGCTCCCCACTGTATCTCTGGTGCATCCTCTCACCTCTGCATAAGTAAGTAAATGTTTTGAAAAATGATAGCTAAAATTGTCCCTGTCATTTACTGAGTGCTTACCATGTGCTAAGTATTCTGTGTACATTAGTTCACTTAATCCTCTCGTAAACTTTTGAGTTAGACTGCAGACATTTTTCAGAGTTCTTTCCTTCCAGACTCATTTATAGCTACCTTTAGGGGAAAAGTAGGAGCTGCTTTTTCTACTCGATAAGGTGCCTGATTAGCTGCCTGTATTAATTACCATTTTTCATAGCTGCTTAGAATTTCATTGACTGTAATTTATTTAACCAGCCCTGCAGGTTGGATATTTATATGCTTCTCATTTTTTGCTCTAGTAAGCATCACTACAGCGAACACCCCCGTATGCATTTCTTTGCTTACTGCTTTGTTCCGTTCTAATTTTTTGAAGTGAAATTGACCTGCTGGACAAGCACAGCTCTTAAACCGTTGTTGAGTATGGTTCGTGCCATATTGGTTGGAATTGACACACGCCAATCCCGTGGGCCACAGATCAGGTGTGGCCCACCCCCCACACCTCCAGACTGAACCCCTGGAGTTGCACAGGTCGTACACCGTCCAGCCCTTCCTTGATTCCCTTTCTCCACCTTGACCCAGTAATCGGATCTCTCCTCTGACCGATCATCTTGCAGCTGACTTCTGGGACGCCTGAGCTCGCATTCTGGGTCAGTTGTGCAGCTGTTCTAGAGCATCAGCAGTTGGGGCGGAGGCAGCAGGTAAGGGGAGGGAGTGCTTGATGTCATGTAGTCAAGCCCTCCCTGACCAAAAGCCTCAGGCTCCCTGTTACCATCAGGCTGGGAGCGCCCCACATGTCCAGGCCGTCACTAGCCTCTGGGGCTTAACCATGTCCGTCTCTGCCCTCTGCGGGCTCTTCTCCAGCCCCCGCCTTCCTTTACCCTTCCTTCCTGGGCTCCACTTATCTTTAAGTGTTCACCTTAGTGGTTATCCCTACAGAGTTGACTCCTTCAAACTCCCAAAGTACCTTTCATATTCTGTGCGTTACTTCAGGGCCCAGCACTTGGTGAGTTGGTGATATTTGCTGAATGAATGCTTTCAGTTCCTTTCTCCCTTTTTTCCTGGGTTCTTTCTAAAGTGTTTTTGTTCTTTCCTAATTAATACACATGGACAAGTTTAAAAATATAACTCATGTCCTGCAGCCATGTCAGACTTTAGTAACCAATCATGATACTGTTTTCCCCCTTGAGACTTGCCACAGGCTCAGTGTCTTTTTTCTTCTTCTTCAAGATTTACTTTATTTATGCATACAAAAGTTGGGGTGTAGGCCAGATATGTGTGTGTTGGGGGTGTGAGAGGATTCACCAGAGACAAAGTGGGGAGCAGAGCAGGCAGATCTCCAGAAATACATTGCTGAGGGGAGGAGCAAATGAGACAAGAGAGGTCTCCTGTGTCATGGGGGCCAGCTCCCTGGCCTAGAACTCACTGCAGGGCTGCT